ATTAATTAAATAAATGTCGTTTTAAATCTTTTGTACATATTTTTTCATTATTACCCTCATTTAGCTAATAAATACATTACGTCTTTTCATATTTACTCTTCACTTTTTCTCAAAACATTCATCTTTATCTTCATTAAATAAGGCTATTATTGACAAAAAAAATTATTCTTAATTAATGTGCAACTTCTCAAAACGTCATATATTAAAAATAGGAGGTAGTATTAAAATTAGTAATATATTTTACATTAAATGAATATAAAAGTTACATAAAATTATATTTTACACTAAAATCAATATTATATTTTTTAATGATTAAGAGATTGTTTTTTAAATAAATTGTTTTTTATGTCACAGTAAAATCTCAAAATCACATAAGCAATTTTTATAATAAATTTAAATATTTTTCAACTAATTAACTGATCATGATCATTCAAAATTACAAAAAGTATATTTTTATTATATTTTATGCAATAAAAATAGTGATTCGTATGCAATTAAATCGTATGTACTCTTTATTCTAACAAAGTATTAAATTTTAAAATAAAATACTGTTATCTAGTTTATGATTTTATTATTATATGCATAAATATAACATATAATACTATATGTTTGAAATATAATATTGTTATTGAACTTATAATTTTAATATTACGTGCATACAAAAAACTTATAATATTTAATTTTATTTACATGGGTCGAATACTAGTAATATTATAATAACCAGATCACGGCGGAGGTAGAAGAATAGTCTCTTGATTAGCAGCATTGGCTTCAGTGCTTTGCTCGACCACCTTGAGGTTATCACTATGACGAGCTGTCTGTTCGACCAGCTTCTGGCGGAGCTCCTTGTTTTGTGCGATGAGAAGCTCATTATGGGTGTTCAAGGCAGCCACCCTCTTGTTCAGCTCGTTGTTATTGGTGGTCAGCTGTCGGTTGTGCTGACTGAGGAGGTCGGACTTCTCCTTACGTCGAGCCAGCTCCTTCTGAAGCTCGTTGTTCTCGAGCAGGTCGTCACTAAGCATGGGCACTAACCCAGCAAGGACCTAAAGACCATATGATCAGCATGTTAAAGGAATGAAAACATAAGATCAAAACTCAGATATATTAGAAAGACGTTTCAAGGTATACCTGTCCGAGGCCTCGAGCTACATCGTTAGCTCGCTTTTTCCTATCGCTTCCCCATCGACCTGTGTCGGCATGAGGCACGACGTTTGCCAGGTAGGACACAATGGTCGTGCCCTTAGCCGCAGTGACGATGGAGCGGGGAGGCAAGACCACCGTGTCTTCATCGACCCGAATCTTCTTGCCCCGGGACTCGCAGTCAACCACCGTATCTTTCTTGCCGGTTGAGATGTGTGGCCGCTTCTTGCCAGGGTCGGCGACCTTCTTGTTCTTGTCATCCCCAACCTGGGCGTCGACGACCTGCTTGTCTTTATTTTTATCGACCTGGGGGTCGACAACCTTTTTGGTCTTCACGACCGGCAGAGTTTTGGATATTTGGGGAGTCTCCTTTGTCTTCCCGATCTTCTTATTCTTCTCCTTGTCATAGAGCATCTCCGACTCCTTGGCCCGTGAGTTGTTTCTCAACCATTCCTCGTGGTATATGGGATCGTAGGGAACAGCCTGGCCGTTGATAAATGGCTCACCTGAAATATAAGAGATGAACTAGAAATCGAGATTCGGATAACACGAGTTTGTAAAGAAACCCGTTGTTGTGATCATCTCCATACATTTGATGATTCAAGAAAATATATATGACAGAGGTAATTCATACCTCCATAATCTTTATTCTCCACATCTAAGTATGAATCCGGGAGCACCCAACGAACTCCAGGAAGTTCTGCACCAAATGTTTCTTCATCTCAATTTAAGGAACTCAGAAGGCTAAATAAAATACCACAAAGTAATATGGTGATTGATACCTTTTATTTTGTAAGAAAGCTCTTCGGACACAAGAGCTCCAAAGGCAAAGTAACACCTCGTAGAGACTGAATAAATCTTCATCCTAGCTTCTTCTTCGCTGCATATACAAATATTACAATTCGTAACGAAAACTAATCTCGACGAGATTTCGATTGAATTTAAACAAGACAAACCCAAAGAGATGGAAAAAAAAAAGGAAGTCTTTAAGTTCACTGCTATAAACATAGACCAGCAAGTTGATAAATTGCCAAACCTCCCCAAGACCGCAGCAAAAGTCTTGATGTACGAATCGATGATTTCGTCCCGCGTAGCCTTCTCATCCGGAGGCTCCATGACCACTAGCCAGTGCTCGAAATCACAGCCGTTGTCGGGCACAGTCCTCGGGGGCCTATTCGACAAGTTCGGGTTCTGATCGTTCAGGGAAGACGTCCCCTGCCCGGTGGCGAACCCCCTTGTCGATATCGCCGGGGTAAGGCGGTGGAAGTAGAAGGCGGAGGCGGCGAGAGGCCGGAGGCGGAAGACAAAGGCGGGCCTGGAGGGGACGCCGGATGAGGAGGAGGAGGAGGCGACTGCGGCCGTGGTGTAGGAGTGAGAAACGGTGGAGAGAAGGGCGCGACGAGCGAGGCATCGAGTCGCCATTTTTCGCGGATGAGATTGATAAACCCTAGCGACTGCGTTAAGAGAGATGAGGGGTTTTGGATTTTGATGTGGCGAGGCTGCATGTATGTTATAACTATATCCCAAGTATGGATCCTCCAAATTCCAATGTAGAATTTCTGGAATGTGCCGGGCCGATTTGAAAATACCATAAATATTTTTGTTACTACAAAATTAGTACAACAACATTGTATTACACGTGAGTTTGTTAAAAATTTTATATTTAAATTTAAAATTTATAGTACGATACCGAGTATCACATGGGTGTTTGCTAAAAAATTATACATAAATTTAAAAAAGTAATAAAAAAGGTAAATGTGTAGTGCTCCTTCTCCCTCTTCTTTCCCAAATCGCCGAAAACCTAGTTCCTTCAAATTGCCGCCGGTTGAGCCTCCTTCTGCAGCCATCTGGGTCGTCGGTGGACGGCCCTCCACTGCACAATCAGGGTCTGGTTGTGGTCCCTTCTTCTTTCTCCGTTTAACCGAGGTGTGCAGTTGGGTTCTCACAGGTCGTTTGGATCTGTGTGTTGCCCGACGGCGTCCCGACGTGGTGGAGTGCAGCGCTAGCGGTTGGTTGTGGCTCGAGTTGCCTCTGTTTTTTACCGGGTTGGGCTGACTCTTCTCGTAGGGCCATGAGGTTCCTCGGTTTTCATTTCTTTTGCTCCGACCGGGGCTATCTTGCGACCTCCGATCGCTGCCTTCTCGGTGTGGTGGGGGTGATGGGCTGGGTTCAGTTCTTGAGGCTGGGTGGAGAGTGGGTCGCTCATCCGGGCAACGTAGTACGATGGGGCTTTGACGCTATTCATTTCCCTTCCTCTCTTGTTTCTCGGCCCTGAGTCGGAGGGAGGCAGTCGTTGCCGGAATTGGGTAGTGGTGTTAGTCGACTTCGGGACGGTGTCGGACTTTGCTAGTGGTGCGGGTCGCTTTGTTTGGATTGGTTCGGGGCTCAGGTCCTCGTCTTTGCTAGGCGTTAGACAGTAGCAGGCGTGGTTCCTGTTTTGATTCTTTCCTTGGAGTCGGCTTATATGATGTTCAATTCGGATGTTCTGCCGAGGGAAGGCTTAGATTTTTTAGTTTGTCATTATTTTTTTTCTTTTGTTTTTTAGTTTACCCGTTTAGTCTAGTGTTTTTGGTTTGAGCCGTTGGCCTTTGTGTTGCCGAGTAGTGAGTGAGTATTACCCTGTTGGGGTCGTTTTGTCTCATTCTCCTTTTGGAAACGTCTGTAGGGTATTACCCTGTTGGGTCGTTTCTTTCTCATTCTCCTCTTGGGAACTTTTAGTGTCTGTAGTCGGTTGTGTTTTTGTATTTTTAGAGTATTACCCTGTTGGAGTCGGTTCTAGGCGGTCTTTTGACCTGACCTCCCAGTCTATTCAGCCGTTGGCTGTTGTATTTAATCGTTGGCTGTTTGTATTCAGCTAGTGACTGTACTTTTGCACATGTATGCGCTTTTATAAAATATATGTATCGTTTCGAACTAAATAAAATTAAAAAAAAAATGATTTTGTAAATTTTAAATATTTTTCTGAAAAATTATAATAATTATATTATTATTATTATTATTTAAAATGACATTATCACATATACATAATCCTATATTGTAATATCTTTTTAACTTATATTATATAACTATTTTGTAGTTGAATTTATCTAATTGATAAATAATTTTTATTTTTCTAGTAAAATTATTAGGTGATTTAATTATTATTTGTATAAATATAATTATTTTTTACTTTATTATTGATACCCAATTTGACCTCGATTAATGAAAATGCTACACGTGGATATGTATTAAATATAAAATAGTAGGTTCTTCGAGCTGATTATTTAAATATCAACGCAGTTCCCAAAAGTCAAGATCGTTCACTTTCGAGCCGAGCAAAATTAAATGTCACTAGTCCGACCCGAAAATCATAAAGAATCCACCCTAGTAGACACAATAATTGCCGACAAGACAAATATCAATTGAAGCCGTCAAGCACCATAATTACTGGGCCCACGTGGTTACATTTGACTCATTGCATTTGTATTATTATATGTGATAAAATAATATGAAGGCTCATTAGATGTACGGTCCATATAGACCCAATATAAATATGTATGTGTGTATGGGCTAAAGGGGGACTTTTCTTTTTCCTTATCTGAAGAAGGCGGCGGCTTTATCTGGCTCT